CGAGCAATTTAGTTGAATAGCCTTCCAGTAGATTATGAGATATTTAGCTGACAGTATGACAGTACAGAAAAACACAGACATGGGCAAAAACACTATTGCTTTTCATTCCCCTTCAGCAGCAGATGATAAATACAGTACTCACCAGAGTATATGCTGCAAATATGGCTAGCAGAGTCACAAAAAGTCCAAAGGAAGTGACGGTGATTAGCGCCACATATGTGAAGCCACTGAAGTGGATATATTTCCCATAACTGTCAGGATTCTCATTGATGTTGCTGTTGTTGCTGTAATTGTAACTGTTGTCATGTGAGGTGTTGCTGAAGTAGAAATTTTCCATTCTTCAGTATGAAACCTGATGGAGAGATGTACAAGAAAAAATACAGCTGTTAGTTTATTTACTTTTTTATTGTTCAGTCATGAACTTTTTAAACTGCTGCCTGAATCATACACAAATAAAAGAATGAAACCAAAACAAATCCAAACAAGGATTGATTTTGTTACCAGTAAAATATATTGATGGTATATGATTTTTTAAAGAAGTGCCTTCACTTTTTTAAATAATAAATCACATATTGCAATTATTAAATTTTAGCTCAAAACTCAAAGTTAAATTCTCAAACAATAAGACATTTCACATTATGCTTCAGTTAGTTCCTATAGACCATAAGCATAATCACTAAAACTGATTCTATAAATTTAAACAAAGCACAATGAGTTTAATAAGGATAATAACCATTAAACCAACAGCAGAACAAAACACGATTGTAAAAAGATAACTAGAACTAATAAATGACTGAAGGGAAATAATTATAATTTTAGCAGTGCATATATTTTACCTGTATTTTGGTGAAACTCAGATTCACGCAACCCAGAGAAATTTCGAAAAATCTGTTCTGAAACAGAACTGGTGAGCCAGACTGGAAAAGCGATTGTGTAAAAGATAAATGTGTATCAGTTGATTGGAAGAAACTAATTGCTCTCTTGCTCTTTATATAAGTTGTTATTGCGTTGGTTTTATTACTTTATTGCAAAGTCATCTAATGAGGAAATCTCATGCATAAATAATGTCTCATAAGGCTTAATGGGTTGTGTAATAACATCATCCTTTTGATCTTTTTGTTTTCTTTTTCACAATGTAATTGTGCAATGCAGACCACTCAGTGATGAGTCAGTCTGGGTCAGTCTTCTCTGCTGGCCTAAACATTCAGTAATTAGTGTCATACAATTTACTGTAAATGTGTTTTTATTCCTGTGACATGTTTTGAATCATTGACAGTAGTCTATAATTTTATTTTATTTGCTTTTTACTTGGTTGTGCAGGTTTTAGAAACGCATGATTATCACTGGCCTCGGCCAATGGCATCCGTTTTTACGAATGGAATAATTGACCCACAATTTGAACTTAAAAGAGTCACCAGACAGGATGACCCCCTGTATCCTTTATGTTTTGCATTAGCCTTAGAACCGCTGGCATTTGCTATTTGGACAGAGGTCAGTCTTTCAGGTATTACTATTCGACACGGCTGCCATAAACTTACGTTGTATGCTGATGATATTCTTCTTTTTATGTCAGATCCAGTGAATTTCCTTCCTACTTTGCTGTCTTTAACATGTTTTCAAAAATTTCTAATTATAAGGTCAACTGGACAAAATCAGAGGCTCTCCCACTTACTGCATCTTGCGCTAAAATATGTTTCCAGCTATTATGTTTTCATGGCCCAAGAGTGGTCGCAAATACCTTGGAATAACTTTTCCACCCCAGTTTACTGGTTTGATTAAATTAACTTGAAACCATTGCTACACAGTAAATTTTGTTGTATTAAATCAACACTTACAAAGTTCAATTTAGCACTGTGTCCGAGTCTATTTGGTCCTTATCTGAATTGGTGTCAATCTAACTCATTCCATAGTATTAAATTTTCAGAGTACAATTTAACTCTAAACAGAGTTAAAAATTAACACTAACACTGCACAGTGCAGACAGCTTTTTCAGAATACTTTTTTCAGCACTGCATGATGTTATATAAGTTCAAGATCAAGTTCAAGTTTATTTGCCATATGCAATAGAAAAACTACACTGGAAAAACAGTAGCAAGAGCTCACATCCACAACATGCACACATAGATAAATTAAAAGATTATAAAATAAAATTTAAAAAGTTTAAAATTTTTCAATTAAAAACACTGAACACAGAACCATCATCTGATACAGACAATAAATTCACAGAACAAGTTACATTCCATATTACTGTGAGAAAGTTAATGTGCGTTATTCAAAACCCTCCAAACCTGTGGAAAAAAAAACTATTTCAATGATGAGACGAAGTACATTTGATAGAACGGTACCGTCTCCTCGAGGGAAGAAGCTAACAACACTGTTAAATAACATTTAACACTGCCGGAGATTTCTTCCTGATTAGCAGGGAGTTTTTCCTCTCCACCGTTTGCTCATGATGGGAGACTGTGATGAAGTGATTCAACACAATCTGCTGGTTTCTTCTTTAGATTGTTCTTTTTTCATGTACAGTGCCTTGAGACAACGCATGTTGTGACTTGGCGCTATATAAATAAACTGAATTGAATTGAATTGAATTGCTTGATGCTATCATTTCAGTATGGACCAGATTCTCAGAGGAATGTTTCCAGTACCTTGTTGAATCTATGCCACAAAGGATTAGGGCAGTTCTGAAGGCCAAAAGGGTACGGGATAAATGTTGCGCCAGCAGGAATTGAATTTGAATTGCTCAGATTGAATCTGAATGTTCATAATTTGCAATTGAATATATTGGTTTAAAAAAAATCACTAAACTGAAACTGAATTTAAAGTTTTGAATTTAAATTAATTTGCTTTGAAACTGTGTTTTTGGTCTATTAAAAAAAATCAGTTTGACTACTTTCACTTTCAGTTCCATAATTTAATTTCAGTTCCAAATTTCAGATTTTTGTGTCACACATGAAAGCCAGCCAGAGTAATCAAACACAGATCCACAGATTTACATTTCACTTTGGTGAAGTTTCCCTTCTGTATTGAAGGGAACAGAGTTGATGCACCATAAAAGTGACAAAAACAAAGTTATTTTATTGCAGTGATTAATTTTACCTATATGTAGAAAATGTTACATTTACATTCTGTCATGAATCAGGCAGCTGAATCAGCATCTGATCAATATGTGATCCATGATGTGATGTAAATGTAACATTTTCTACATATAGGTAAAATTAATGAATTAATATTGTATGTATGTATGTATGTATGTATGTATGTATGTAT